GGACTAGGAGGAGGAGGAGGAGGAGGAGGAGGAGGAGAAGGAGGAGGAGGAGGAGGGGAAGTGAAAGCAGAGGAGGATAAGAGAAAAGGTGAGCCTGCACAGGATAGGAGAGCATCCTCCCCAGTTTCTGCTGCCATTAGGTTTCTATTTTTTTTTTCCTGGATTTTACTGTTTTGGTAATTGAAAGAAGAAATATTAATACTACATGGGGAGAACCCCAACCAAAGATACCAGAAATTGTTATATAGTAAATGCTTTTTTTTTTCCTTTTTTGTTCATTTTGGATGCTGGTGCTAAAATTCTAAGTGTCATGACTTTAAAAAAAATGTTTGCCCTTATTTATTTTTAGGATGGGGGCAGGACAATATTATTGCTTTCTTTTGTGACTCAAAAAATGTGTGGTAAAAAATTTCTCAAATAAAAATTTTTACCCTTCAGAGGAAAAAAAAGGTGAGAATAAGACATAATCCACAAGACCACATTGCCATGAGCTACTCTCATAGGAGGGCTGGACGGCTAATAGCCCACGCCGCTAGGACCACATCAATGGGTGAACTCACCAAAGACATTGCTGGGCACACGATGCCATCACCTCTCAAGGCCCCATAACCGAGTATCACTGCACTGGGGACTTCTGTATATGTGCTTTAGGAGACATGTAATTTCTAAAATGTAAGAGCGTGATTATAAAGCATGTATTTGATCAGTTTCGTATTCTGCAGTTCAATCTTGTTTTAAAATTTTATTGACTTATTTATTTTTATTTTAGGGAAAGCTCTACAGGGTGTTCAGGGTCTCACTACTATATCGGACTTGTAGAGATCCACCTGTTTACAGCCTCCCGGGAGCTGAGATTACAGGCATGCGCCATCAGGCCAGTTCTCAATTGCTATCTCATGGCTCCCCAGGGGCAGGGCCAGCACTGCATACCAGGGGACTGAATCCCAGGTCCCTGCGCCTGCTTGTTAGTGCTTTAATCCACTGAGCTATTTGGCCAGCGCTGCAGCTCATTCTTTCCTGGATTGTTTCATGGTGGTTTTTGCACTGCTACTAGCTGAGATATGGGCGGAGGTTTTGTCCTAACAGAAACACTTGATGAGCCAGGAGGAAGCCAATGCTTAGGATGCCATTTCTAAATATGAAATAGTATCTCTTTTGGGTGAACATCTGAGAAATTCAACTTATATGAAGCATAAAACGTAACAGGAAGACAGAGCCCCATACTCTGGGGAGTAGAGGATACTTAGAGAGTTACAGGAATGAAATATTCTAATTTCTTCCAGATCTGCAGATGGGGATAGTAACTTAGCTGAGATGTACCCTTAGTTCTTGTACAGGAGGATCCTGAGGCTGAGCCTCTGTGCTCCTCTTGCACAGTAATATGTGGCTGTGTCAGCAGAGTCCACACTGCTCATCGTGAGGAACACCTGGTTGTTGGGGGTGTCCTTGGAGATGGAGAGCTGGCTCTTTAGGGCTGGGCTGTAGTATTTATCACCATCCCAATCAATGTTGGCCACCCACTCCAGGGACTTTCCTGGGGGTTGATGCATCCAGCCCACAACTATTCCACTTGTGCTCACAGAGAAGCCAGATAAGGAGCAGGTCAGTCTGACAGTCTCAGTTGTTGTCACCAGCCCAAGGCCAGAGTCCTCCAGGGTGATCTTGGACACAACCCTTGTGGAGACACACAGAATAAAATGAAATGATTTCAGGTAAAAATAGGAGCTTTGGAAGCCCTGAGGCCCTGACCCAGGCATTCACAAGCAGGGAAAGTCAGCAGCAGCAGAAGGGAACAAAGCCTGTCCATGATGACACAGGAGTCCAGACGCAGGCCATGCTGGGCTTTTCAACGGAGCAGGCGAGGAGCTAGAAGAGATTTGCATTCCCTGCCCAGGTGCTGACCCTTGTGGGGAAGGGACTCAGTGCTCAGAACACAGAGGGAGCCAGGCTGTGATGAGCAGGACCTGGACCTCAGCTGCAACTTCCACATCTGCTCCCATGGGAGATCCTGGGCATTCAGGACCAGGCTGTCAGGCACAAAGCCTCAGATTATGCCTGTAGTGGAAGGATGTCAAGACAGAGAGGCTTCCATTCCTGCAGAAAGGATCTTCCCCATGCTTCCTGTCCTCTACGATGGTGACAGACCAAGAGAGATGGTGGTCCTTCTGCCAGGGCACATTGTGCTTGGAGTATCAGGAAGCCATTTCTGCATGTTAGGTCCCATCATCTCCATGACAGACAGAGAGAAAAATAGGTCAGCATAAGAGAGGGACAATAGAATTTTGAATTTCCTTTCCTGTGTGAACAGGTACTTGCTCCTCACTGTTTTCATGATTTCCTGGGCCCAAGGACCATTCACAGATAATCCAGCATATCCTCATACCCAATCAGTCCTGAGGAGACAGAGGGCTCCACATCAAATTTCAATGGGCTGATCCCAGAATGGAGTTGTGATACTACTAGATGAGGTGAACTCCAGGGCTCAGCTGCCTAGCAGTAAGCTCCCTCATAGTACGCTGTGCTGCACTGTGGCCGAACTCCCATGATACAAGTCTTGATGACTTCCTATAGCACAAGTGGTCCTTGTCACCACAGAAAATGATACACAGAATAGACAGTCCTGGGACATCACATGGATATGGAGCATTCAAATCTGTCTTTCCTCTCACACACAAGAAATTGGATTTTATTCATGTTTTTATGTTTTTATAACTTACGCTCATTTTCTACCTGTGTTATGGTTGCACAGCTGTGTTTCTGCTATTGATGTATTGCATGCACTGGTCTCTCTTTTGATGTTTTCTTTCCAAAAGCCAAAATTATGAACAGATTAGGGATAGTAGATTATAGTGCAAGCTGAATTTCTCAGATTCAGAATGAAGCATGCAAGAAGCAGAGAAAGGGCACTAAAGGCCACTTGAGGTCATGAAGAGTAACCTTGTTTTCTTCAGCACTGTTTCAGAGATGCTCAGCTCTAGCGGATACTCCTTGTTGGTGGATCTGTTTATGTTTCAGAAACTGAAAGTCTGATTCTGGTCTAAATTTGATCAATATAAAAATTGACTTTATGCCACAAATAAGATCATTCATTTGAACATAAGGAAAACTGTCTTCCTGAAAACTGATTTCATCAGCAGGTTAAAACAAATACAATGTGTGTATACTTGCACAATTAAACAACGGGTGTCTCCAAGAATGACAGGGTGGTGGATGTGCACAGGCTTTGCTTTTCTCTCACAGCCTGGTGTTCCACAACTTCACTGCACAGAAGAGAAAGATCATTTCTGCAGTCCTGAATGGCAGCCAGGGTCTCTGAGGGAATGTAAGTAATTTTCCATGGAGTTGGTCACGTGGTACCCGTATGTAATTCGTGAAGTCTGGGATTTTGTGGCAAAGCCATAAGATGTTTGGTCCAAAACTGGGCACTAAGTAACTAGCTAGAGATTTCCTAATATTTAAAGAGTAGAGACTGCATCACCTTTCGGGGTGTTAGATTTGTTTTTACTATACAGAACTTAAAACAGTTGTTTTAAAATCAGACTATAAATGGCATTTTGTTCAGTCCAGAGAAACTGAGTTTCAAGTTTGTCTGCTCAAAGCCCTGAGAGGATCGATGTCTTTTATTTTAACCCTTCATTTTACATTTTAAGGTTTGAGCAGCAGATATAACGATCTATCCAGGTTTCATTACTTAGAGATGATGACTGCTCTTGCAAGACTTAAAAATATAGGTACAGCCATGGATTGCTTTTGATCGGCAGAGTTTATGGCTTCATTTTCTATTGTTGGAGAGAAAAAAGAAATTATAGATTTATGTGTATATTTGATGTAGGTAAGTATTAAATCCCTGCTTGTGAGAACTAAGAAGAATTTTAGAAAATTATGACACGTTGTGGGACATGGTTTTTTCCTATAAAGTTGAAGAATCTCCAGTGAATTATGCAGTGCATTTGTATAAATTTTACATATTGTAAATAATAAACTTGAATGCTTCACTGATACTTTCTCAGTTCACTCTTTATGCTGTATTTTTCTTAGTTATTTCTGGATGTTCAGAAGTCCTGCACTGTCATTGCTCCTAAGGGTCCAGTATAATCTGATGATTTTCAGTTTTACAGATTTTCCTAATTTGAGGGATTTTAGTAATAATGTTGTTTCTTTGGAGCTTGGAGCAAGAACAGCAATAAACTGAAGAAATAAATCCTCACCTATGAATAGAGTCAAGTATCTGAACAAACAAGTTGAAAATGCATCTTGATACTCATCCCTGAAGCAGAAAAAAAATAAAACACAGAAAAAGTGCACAAGAAGATGACCACAGGAAATCAGAGATTTCTAGAGTCTCTCAGGGAGCAGAAGTGTACAAGGGCAACAGTGTGGAGTTGGCCACACCCAGGCGACTGAGGTGGCCATATCATAGTTGGGTGATGCAGGTTCACCTGTAATAACACACACAGGACAGGAATATCTCGTTCCATAAATACTGAACATGCCAGTGATTGACTTGGTTCCAGCTGGTACAGGGTACAGAACTCAGGACCTGTGCTTGCCAGTCCAGTACGTATGCCATAGAGCTATCTCCCTAGCCCCACAATATGAAATGTGCATTGAAAAATTTTAATATACTGTCTCCAACGGCCTATCAAACATCTAAATCCATGGAATTCATTGATTAACAGCTCTGTGCTAATTCCCACAGGAATTGGGACCCTGTAGGCAAACTTCAGCTTTTCCTCATAAAGTACAAATGCTCCTCTTTACAGTGTAAATTTGATAAGGCTTCACAAGTCTTTGAGCTCTTGTACCTCCTCATCTCTCATTAGACACTTTCCCCCAGCACTTGAGAGCTCTAGTGCTGACTGTGGGGTTCTATGTCCAATTCAGCACGTCCCTCCACATTCCATCCTCCAAGCAGCGCACAGAAGCTGTTTTCCTGGCTCACTGTGGTGAGGGGCATCACGAAGCTGTTGCCCCAAGATCACCCTGTGAAAGATTTCTCCACCTCCACTGTGTCACTACTCATTCCTCAATGTGATATAGAGCGCCCTCCAGTGGATGTATGCGCAGGAAGCACTGAGAGTCCACAATCTTTGAATTCTCTATACCTATTTAGTAGTAGATCTCATAGAAAAGTCAAGGGAGCTAGGAACAGACATCCCTTTGGGCACTCTGAAATAAATGCGCAGAGTTCCAGGTTCATCAGCAACCTGTGAAAAGTGTTAGGTTTTCCAGTGTACTAAAGAGGCAGGAAAGATAATACAGGACTTCACTGATGGCAGGAGGGAAGACCACAGGAAAGGAGAGATGTGGAGCTTCTGAGGCCTGTTGGGCAAACAAAGGCAACATCTTGTTAAGTCGGAGGTGAATCTTAGTGGGCAGTCTGTGTGACATGGCAGGTAGTGATTGGGTAGGAATAAGGAAACAGGATATTGTGAAAAGAAGTAGGAAGTTTAATTTGACCAGGGAGGAGGAAGGTGGAGCATAGCCATGGCCTCCAGTGACCTGTGCCATATTGGCTCACCATCATGATGACTGAGCAGAAATTTCAGTAAGGCAGAGAAAACCCATCAAAGAGTAGCACAGTAGTCTCCTGAGTGAGAATGCACTGCCACTCTGAGAAAACTGTGAACCCAAACAGAACCCTGCTGACTGTGACCTAAAGAGAACAACACTGGAATCTGCACCAGGGAACAAGGGCATCCAGGGACACAGCTGAGATGACCCTAAAATCACGGCCCCAGATACAGCATGGGCATGACGGGTCCCCAGGGCAGTGTGTTAAAGGCTTGGGTCCCCAGCTGGGAAGGGCTGAGATTGTGGATCTTCAGGAGTCACTCTCAGAAAACCTCCAGTGCTGCTCACTCCACCCATGCTCACTCAGTCTCACCCCAAGTGTGCAGCTGCACAGTCCCAAGCTTCCATCACTTCTATTGGTGTATCACTTGTTTTTATTGATATGTTTATTAGTACATATTTACACTACATATTTATTACAGTTATGCCTGGGGTTGGTGTAGGTGCAGAGAACAGCTGAACTCTTTTTCATTTCCTTCCCTTCTGCCTCTCCCTGTTCCCTGCATCTGCTTGTCACTTTCCCATTTGCAGAGGATCTACCTATTTCCCATCTATCTATCTATCTATCTACCTATCTATCTATCTATCCATCCACATTTTTCATCTCTACATATTGGTTCTCTTAGTTGTCATGCCATAATTAATAGTATTATTCTTTTCTTTTTGTATCTAGTTTTAATCTATAGTCTCTTTTTTTTCTTTCTTTCAAAACCGATTACTCGCACAGTTTCAATGATAAATACATTTCATATTGTTGTCTTAGTGGATTTCGTTATACAAGATGCAGGCATGATATCCTGTCCAAAAACACTATTAGAACAAATCTCTGTATTCATTGAATTAAGAGAATGCAGCTGTATATCTACCCTAAATATTTTGAGTATACAGATACAAAAAGGTCATTCATTTGTATCCCGCTTTTTTCATTAGTTTTGTCAGAGAAGGACATTCCATTGTCATTTAAATATTGTACATGCATGAATTCAGCAAAATAATCCAGTATAGTCCAGTAGTACATAATAATAGTGAGTTTTCAGTAAGACTGGTAATGTCAGACATTGTTGACTTGAGCCTTTTACAACTCACCATATTAATATTACTTTACATTTATACCTCATTTGTATAATTTTCTCTTGGATTTTTAAGACCAAGATAAAGAAAGAGCTATATAACAAGAAATGTAACTTTTGTATCTGACAAGGTCAGTCAAATACCCTCAGGATTTACCCTGAAACCCTGTACCACAGTTTGTAGATACTGTGTCAGTGTTAGCCATGTGGATGTGTCAAGGCCATTGTTTGACCAGTTTGCTCTCTGTGAAAGCCTGAGAGAATGTTTTCTTTCTGTATGACTCTTCTTAGACAGACTCTGCATCTTAGAACAGTTTCCTCTGTGGCCCCATAATCTCCTTGATCAGAAATTTTGGGACACAATTGAGTTACATGATGTTACAGTATAGGATCACCTACGTCCTGAGTTCTTCACTGACTCGAAAGACTAGGGCCAAAATATTGGCTGTCCTTGCAACCCTTCTTTTTCTGTAATTTTTGGTATGCAAACATAGATTGTTACTCCTCTAGAAGAGAAGCTTATTGTTATTACCCTACAACATAGGCAGTTAAGCTTAGCCTATCTGTCTGAATATCAAAGATCTTAGGTATAACTTGGAACAGGTATTTTCCATCAGGTATTGATATGTTGAACTTTAAATTCCTCCAGAATAAGAAGGAAAAAAATTTTAAAAATTTAAAAAATAAAAATGAACAGTTACATATTTTTACACAGAAATTTAGAAATCTAACCATATACAGCCTTGTAGCAGGACAGTCCTGTAAAAATAGAATCACGAGATAAATTTCAGTAGAAAATACATCTATAGTGAGAAAGCACTGTTGCTTTGCATCTGATTCCGGACCCAGCTTTTGTCTGTTTAGAGTATCTCTGCAGTTTCCCAAGGACTGGCTCTTGGCCCTTCACCCCTGCTGTTCTCCAGTCAGTCCTCAAAATAACCTGTGCATTGTTGATCCAAGTTCGTGTAAGCTGCCTCAAGAGAAAGAGGTAACATTCTCCATGATGCCTAAGCTCTGGAAAAACCAGTCTAGTCAAAAAATTATTTAACTAAAATTAAGCTATAGGGAGTTTGCTCAAGGAAAGGAAAGCAATGTGGGTAAGATAGAACTTTCTAGCATGATTAAGAAGTATAGAGACCTGCAGAGCAGAGAACTCGATTATCCTGTAGACTGCTCCCAAGAAACATGGGGTAGGCATTAAGTCATTCATCCACAGAATCAAAGAATGTTGAAGTATAAAGCACTCCAGAGGGCTGGAGAAATGACTCAGTAGAATAAGCATTTGCCTGGCAAGTGCAAGGTCCTGAGTTTAATCCCCAGTACTGAAAAAAAAAATGCTTCAAAGCTGGCACAATTCAGCTCCTCATTCTGCAGGTAAATGAATGGGGAGGTAAAGAGGTGAAGCTGTTGGGCTAAGACCAAGCTGTTAAATAGAAGCTGAATGGCAACAAGATCCATTTCTCATATTGTAGGTGCATGAATTCAGCCAAGTCATAGAATATAGTCCAGTAGTCTATAATAGTAGTGGATTATCCATGGGACTGGTAATGTCAGAAGTTGTCAACTTGAGCCATTTACAGCTCAGCATATTAGTATGGCTTTACTTTTTATATCTCACTTTATACTTATCTGCTGGAAGATTAAGACCAAGATGAAGCAAGACTTATATAACAAGAAATGTAACTTTTTTATCTGACAAGATCAGTCAAATCCCTGCAGGATATTCCTTGAAACCCTGTCGATCTTTAATGTTACCATATATCAGCACTATAAATAAATTATCCTACATAGAAACCAGTGACTTTCTCAGTCAATGGGCCTATTATCAAAGCTAAAGAAAATTAATTTATGTGATTAAAAAACATTGCTCATAAGTGTTTCTTTGATTGTTTCAAAATTTAGTAATGCGGATTTTCTGCCGTGTTCCGGGAGCCCCCAGACCCAGTCCTAGCCCAGGTCCGGTGAGTGTGCGGA